CTACACTGCTGCAATTTCATTTGAAAGACATAAAATACAACATTTTATTGACACCGTTGCCTACTAATAGTGAATGATCAGATTAAATGTTAAATAATAGCTATGTACTATGGCATTTGCAATTTAGGTGGTTAGAATTGTGCAGACCTAGAATGTGTTGTGATTTTCTTTGATTAAAAGTATTAATACCATCCTACTTGTAGAGAACAAGCCAAAGAAGGAGCTGATTCGCATGCTGCAGCAGATGGGCTACGACTCCGACCCAGTCAAGGCTTGGAAACAGGCTCAAGAGAAGGTAGGACACTTTGAATCATAATGAAAAATGCTTAATAATCGGCCTCCTGCTGAGCAAATAACACGTGTTTGCGTTCATGCTATTAGAATGAGGAGGAGATGGAGGATGAGGAGGAGGAGGAAGGAGCAGAGAAGGAGGACGCCAGCAGTCCAGACTACAACTACCTGTTGAGCATGCCCATGTGGTTCTTGACCAAAGAGAAGAAAGAAGAGTTGTGCAAACAGAGGGATGCTAAGGTGTGATGTTCAGCTATGCTTTCACACTTCTGAATTTGAATCGGTCTATCTTGTGCGAACCTTGTTGATTTCTGACCCAACTGCTACTCTATAGATGACAGAGCTGAACACCCTGAAGAAGAAGTTTCCAGCAGACCTGTGGAGGGAGGATCTTGCTGCTTTCTCCGAGGAACTGGAGGTATTTGCTCTTTATGTGTCTGCATTTTTTTTTTATGCTTTACATGCCGTCATAAGTGCACCTCGTCAGTTGCATATTCTCAATTAAAGTATTTCCACCATAGTTTTAGAAAGAGATTGGGAAACTTTCCTAACTGGCATATCATATATCATGTCATATTGTCAATTCCACGTGAGCATGCATATTTAGTACTGATGCAAGCCTCTTGTTATATTCAGTCACTTAAAGGTTTTCCTCATTTCAATCATCTTCTTATCTTGTTCCTTCTTGTGTGCAGAACATTGAGACAAAAGAAAAGGAGAGTGCCACCATGCCTGTTAAAAAGGGGACTGGAAAAGGCAAATCGGTGAAGGTGAAGCAAGAGACTATGCCCACGCCGCAGGGTCGTCGTGTTATCCCGCGTGTTACCAGCACCATGAAAGCTGAAGCCAACAGGAAGGCTGATATTAAGAAAGGAGAAGGCAAGAGAGGCAAGAAAATCAAGGTATGTGCTGTCAAATGTAAATAAATAACACTGGAAAAGCATGATCTTCTTATGTTTATTGGGTTTGTAGTTAGTTTTCACATCTGTCAGAAAGATTAAAAACTAATTTGTGCCTTCTAAGTCTTTTATCTGCATCTTAAGCATTTTTTGCTACAGCACACCCAAATTAAAGTAACATTTTGCATGCCATAATTTCTGTAATTGTAGAGTGAAGATGTGGTGATGAAGATGGAGTTTGGAGAAGATGCAGAGAATGCAGTGCCAAGTGAGGAAATTGGCTTGGCTGCAAGACTCAGCAAGAAAACTAAAACCCAGGCAAAGGAAAAAGGTGAGAATGACTGCTGTAAGTTTATATAAAGTTATATTTCAGTCAAACAAGATGTAAAAAAGTGCAGTAAATGTATTACAAAACATAATTTTAAACATAATTGCACAGCTCTCTGCATCTACATACAGTAAATATAGTGTTGCCACTAGTAACCAATGGCTCTTTATAGTAATATCTAGAATAAAGCTGGACTGGTTAAAACTAGATGTTTATAATTCCAAGCTTTATCACCTTCTAGGATATTGTACTTCAGAGATAAGATATGAGGCTGTGTATCATAACTGTTTATTGTATCAACCCACAGTTTCTGAATTTTACATTAGCAGTTACTCCACCCCTTCACTACAAGTACAAATTGACTCAGGTGACATGTAATGCTGCTTGAGCTAGTAAAATAATATAAAGTTTACATGCCTAGTAAGATAGGCCCAATGACAAACCTCTTAGTTTGCATATTGACAAATCTACACTAGTGTTAAAAGAGAGCACTCAGCAAAATGACTGGAAACCTTTAATATCATACGTAATGGGTTAAATACATTTATTATTTAGATATGCGCTTTAGGTACTATCTGTATTTAGACCTAGTGTAATGAAGCTTCATTGCATTTTATATTAAACTTTACTAAGAAACACACTTCTCTGCAGCAGCATCAAAGAGTGGCAAGCAGAGCACTCTTCAGTTCAAACCTGTTTCCAAGAAGCCCAAGAAGAATCCGTGGTCGGATGATGAGTCTGACCATCTGTCTGCCGTCAGTGAAATGGAAACCGAGGAAGTGGTTGCCCCGAGGGAGCGGGTTGAACGCAAAACTAAAGGTGAATCAGCTAGATGAGCCTGATTATCATAATGACAGTTAGACAAGTGTATCTATAGTTGCTTCCTTTCACTGTGAACAAGGATGTCCTACTTTGAATGGACTGTTTCAGCTGTTTGTTTGCTTATACAAACACAGACAGCCACGCAAGATGTAATCACTCCAGAAATGTTTGGGTTTTTTAAATTAAAACACAAATACAACGCATTTCCTGAGACTAATTAGCTCTCTTATGTCAACTGACCCTTAACTGATCTTTGCAAACATCTCTTTGGTTACTTATCTGTTATGAGAAAAATTCTAAATCGAACCATCCTGTTTCCTGTCTCTTAAGCTGCGGTGAAGTACAGTATGTCAGACAGTGAAAATGAATTTGATGACTGGGGGAAGAAGGATGCTCCAAAACGGAAAGCGGTCATCAGTGATGATGATGACAGCTTTGTCCCAGAGCCCAGCACCATGCCTGACAGCGATGTGGACTCGCCAGCCCCGCCTCCCAAAGCTCCAGAACCCACGTGAGTTTGGCAACTTGATGTATAAATCTAATTTGACTCTGAGTGTTCCAGTTTTTTTTAATTAACTTGAATAAATTTCATCATTTCTGTGCAGGAAGAAAGTGACGAAGAGCAAATCAACAGTAAAACAAGCTTCAAGCAAGTCAAGCTGTGAGTATTTTCATGCAGTTCTCTTGATGAGCTTGTGAAATGTTGGCTGTGGGACTAAAGTTTCCATTCTTTGCTCTTTGTGGTGCTCTGCAGCTGCCTCGGATGATCAGGTGCCTGCATCCAAGGCTCCAGTTCAACGTAAAACCAAAGACACTGCACCCAAGAAAGCTCCTGCTGCCAAGAAACCAGCTGCACCCAAGAAGAAGGCTGCAGGTACTTAACCACTTTAGCTGAATTCAGAACAGCTCAGTGTGGTTTATATGTCGCACTCATGGAAGAGCAGATATATGGTTAAAGTTTGAAAGTTATGATATTCACGTTTTTATTTATTTCTCATCAAATGGTACCAATAAGTAGTAGTATATTAAATTGTAACAGTAGTTGTATAAATCACACATTTCTTGTGTAGATTAGACACTTAAAGTACATGGTAGCTAAAGGTGGCTAAAACAAAATAAATATCCTTCCCTAATCTGTATAGTTGCATGATTTGTTTTTCCCGTTGATTTCCCGTAGATGTGAAGCAGCCATCCATCCTAGATGCTCTTTCTAAATCGAAACCTTCATCCAACACAGCTGCCAAGAAGGTCCCTTCGTTTGACTCCAGTGACTCTGAGGGTGAAGCTAAAGCTCCAGTTACAAAGGCAAAGCCCGTTCTCAAACGGAAACAGGTCGTTAGTGATGAATCCGACAGCAGCTCAGACAACCTCATGTCACGCCTCAAGGCCAAAACAACTGTCAACAGCAAGGTCAGTTTTTACTGTTTTTAGAAGATCTTTAGGGGTTAATGGACTTTACATTGCAAGTCAGTATGAACACCTTTTTATTCTTGAATATTTTCTCTCTGTTTCTGTAGAAACCCAAGAAGTGGGTTGACGATGACAGCTTCCAGATTTCAGACCAGGAAAAAGCATCTCCTGTTGCAGTGGCACCAAGGGACAAGCCCTCACGTGCCCGGAAACCTGTAACCTACAACCTGGACTCGGACTCCGACTCAGATTAAATTTTATTCTCTGAATCAGTGTCTCTAAGGTCATATTTTAGATTTTGTATTAAAGACTGGATCTTTAGTAAGTTGTACACAGTTTGTGCCATGTGACTAAATATAGCTTCGCTTTTATCACTTGAAACAGTTAGACTTTAATGGCCCTGCATTTCTCAAAAATATTATTCTTTGTAGAAAAACACATCCTGTCAAAGAGGAGAAGTAACAAAAAAAAAAAATCTTATATTTGTTGTACCCAGTTATACCTGCGTAAGTCTAGTGTTAGTCTTACTCTTAGGTTTCTTGAAATGTCTTTGGTAATCCACTTCTTTGTGTTTTGTCTTGTATTGTAAATATTTGAATGGCTGTTCGTTTTTATATCTTAAAATAAAGTTAACTTGTTTGTAGTTGTTGTGTGTTGCATGATAAGATAAGAAGAACAACTAGTGAAACGTCACTGATTTTGTCTGTACACGTCGGGTTCTCAGGAATACTCAGATGTTTAAGGGAGGGAGAATCTTCAGTGTATCTCCCACTGCACCAGTGTGGCAGAGACGCTGGTGCAGTGGGGAGTAGGTCATTGGGAAAATTGAATGGGTAAGTAATATTTTATTTCCACTTCAAAGGGTAGATTTTTTTTTTTTTTGTATTCACAATCTGAGTTTGTTCTCATTGAGAGTTGGAATAGAGAATTTTTCTTATCTATTTTTTTAGATAAACATTCAATCACTGAGAAGCAATTATAATGTTATTGCTTGCATAAATGAACAAATCTAGAGCTCAAAGCTCAATAAAAACTGAATTTTAATGCCAGTGATTGCACACTGAAGAACTGCATGTGAAATGAGTCAGGGTCTTTTTATGCAAGTTGCATGTTCTCGTGTTGCCTCTTGTGATCAGGGAAACCGGTGGCATAGCTTAGAACAGACCCTTCCTGCCATTTAGGGAGCTCTTTGAAATGCTCATCAAGACTTTGCCTCTCTTGGGTAAACATCACTTCTTTCTTAATGGGTACAGATTAGGACGTAACAGGAATTTCCTGAACTGTTGCCGCCCTCTCAATAATAACCCCAGGCAGATCTCAATCACATGCCAGTTGGAGAGTGTAAGTTGGTATGGACATGAGATTTGATTTTTATTTAAGTCTTCCTTTGGTTTAACCAAGGACATTTCTGAGAGGGAGAAGACAAACAAGGATACAGGATTTTTAAGGCTTATCAGAGAGGTTTCGGTTTTCACACGTCTCTGCATCAGGTAAATGAAATGCCAGGCTGAACTTGTTTTGTCATCTTACTGTCATTGGCTTGTCTGAAATCCGGTCCGAGTACAGTTTCAGACCACAAGTAGCTCAACCAGTCAGTTTACTTCCACAAGCCGCAGCTTGTTCTCTAATCGAGGCTGTATTCATAGCTGTTGTGCCCTGAAAATGAAGTTAGAATGTGTGGAGAATAACCAACATTAATCATTTAGTCTTTACATTTATACACAAATATACTGGCCAAAACTCCTACTAACTGGTAATGAATTTACATTAATCAATATTATAACTTTCTGAGAAATTCCATTGTGGGATTCAACTACTTTCTCTTTCAGTCTCTTAAGATCATCTGTTAAACCTAAAGAAAAAGAGAGCACCCTGACCTAGTATAGGCCAGTGATATGGTTATATTTCTTGCATTATATGCTTGAGTTACTGTTATTGCAGGTGATATATTCATGTTTCATTTTTGGTTTCAGGTCATTGCACCATAAGCCTTTGACCTGGACGTTGGTCTGTCAGTATGAGTCACGTATTAAAGACAATAAGACACATTTTAGTTTCTTTTTTTAACCACAGACACCATTTGCTGTAAAACAGGACAGGTGCATAGATCTCCAGACTTTCAAGAAGCCATACCCAAGACAGCGCTGCAATCATGGGAGAATGGGGCTTCCTTGGCGGACTCTTTGACAGCCTCCAGGCCCACTCACCGATGCTGGGTCGTTTCTGGCTCCTAATCATGCTCGTCTTTAGAATACTGATCCTGGGAACAGTAGCCAGTGACCTGTTTGAGGATGAGCAAGAGGAATTTGCCTGTAACACCCTCCAGCCGGGCTGCAAACAGGTATGCTACGACATGGCCTTTCCCATCTCCCAGTACAGATTCTGGGTGTTTCACATCGTCCTCATCGCCACACCTTCCCTGCTTTTCCTCATGTATGCTATGCATCACCATAACAAGAGGACCGTCCGCTCCAAATTCGACCAAATTTGCAGCCATGACTACGGAGAAGAAATCAGTTTCAGGAGGCTTTACATTGTCAACGTGGCCTTCCGTATATTGGCAGAAGTTGGCTTTCTGGTGGGCCAGTGGTTCCTGTACGGCTTCAAGGTGGAGGCCCAGTTCCCCTGCAGCCGTTTTCCTTGCCCCTACACAGTGGACTGCTTCACCTCCCGCCCTGCAGAGAAAACAGTCTTCCTCTGCTTCTACTTCGTCGTAGGGGTCATAGCAGCGATTTCCAGCTGTGCTGAGCTTCTCTACAGCTCCATGAAGTGGTTCTGCACAAGGCGGGAGCCCTTCACCCCAGAACGCTCCTGTGTCTGCCAGAACCTCCATAACATCAGCAAAGAGGAAGCGGAGGCGGAGGAGAAACCACTAGGAAAGACTTTGTCACACAGTGCACCCAGCAGCATGAGGCTGAAGGCAGGATCGCTGAGGAGCAGTGCGAGTAGGAAGGTCTCCAGCAAGCACAAGGGTGGCAAATATGTGAGCACCAGGACACTCATGGTGTGAGAGAGCATGGATTTAAACATATCAGTACCTTATTTTCATCTAAATGCTAAATGCAGTAAAGATTTGACTAATTCCTGTAAGCCATATCCTGAAAAAAAATATTTTTACTCATAATGACTGAAGGATTTTATGATTGGAGACATCATAAGGAAATACTTGGGAGACCTTGATTAGATCAGGAAATGAGCCAAGATAAGATGTCACTGATGGCTTTGATAAGGTGGTTTCGTTGTTGACTTGTTTTTTCTGGTGAATCATTACAGACTATAAACAGTTCAAGAGGGAAAAAGCCGTTGGACTACACCTGATGCACTGATTGCTTCTTTGTTTCAAAGAGAACTGACTGAAGACCTCTGTACCACTCCCTTCTTAAGGCCAGTAGCCAAGTGAAAATCTGTAGACTAACTGTAAAATGGAAACAATTTCTGAACTTGATTTTAACGTGGAAACAGTTCCACATCTTAGGAAATATGCAAATTTTCTTACAGAGAGTTAAAGAAGCTAAAGACCTCTCATCTCTGTACAGTTAATATAAAGCTACTGCCAGCACAAAGACTGTAAACAGGGGACAACAGCTAGCCTGGTTTTGTGCAAAGCCCACCTACCCGCATCTTATATACCACCTTACAAAAACAACAACAATAAAAGAAAAAGTATAAATCAAGATCCTCACCATCAACGCTGTAATGTTGTCTTTTAATTTTCAGTACCACTTTTTAATAAGGCACCCTATAGGGGGTTCATGAATTGTAACTAATGGCTTTATTAATAATAAACAAATAATTTGCTTGAGATTAAGAAGTTTTGTGTTGCCAGATTGTAAGAAAATCCCTTTGACTGATTGAACTGTACGACCTCACCATCTGATAGAGAGCTGCAGAGCATAAGGACCAAACTTCATTTATTAGGAACTTATGAAGCATTTATTCATTGTATTTGTAACTGCATTATTATCAAGTGGAAACACTGGCCAGTGGGAATTCTCAATTTTGTTCCCTTCAATAGCCTAAATTTACATATAAAGCATTAGTAAATAAATTATGAAGCAATAATAGTCATTAGTTATAAAAACATATATAATATAATACCTTGACTTACCTTTTATAAAGATCCTTTATTAAAAAGTGTACCAGATGCTTTTAAACAAGGACAACCCTACAACCATAGGACCTTATATATCCCGTATACACCGTGTATCATTTTATTGAATAACATTTAATTGACACTGTGAACGTGACCAATTCTGAATTAGTGTTTATTTTTTTTGTTTGTTTGTTTTGTTTTTAAGTAAATTATAACTTTACCTGGAATGTAATTGTTTGAACTCATGAATGAAGGGATGAAAAAGTGCATGTACTTCTGAATCTTTTGTAAAATAAATTTTTCACTTTTTACTAAATATTACAAATGTTGACACATTCCATTATGTTTGCCGACTGACATGGCTGAATTTTTGTGTGTCTTTTTTGTGCCCTGTAAATGGACCAGCTGAGTGCAAAGCAAGTCATACCGTATCAGATGACTTCCATACCGCAGTGTGTTTGAGAGACTGCTGTTACACAATCTTTCAAATAGCGTGTCAGAAACAAGCTGAGAGGCATATGTCAAATTAATTGTTGCGTAGCCCGTTGAACATGAAGCTACTTGTTGCTTTGTTCATCCTGCACAAAGAAAATTCCATTTAATTTCCCTATTTTTAATATAGAATATTGTGCAGCAATTAGGCTGTGAAGCCACTCTGCTCTAAATCGTAATATATTCATGTTCTGCAGGTGAAGAGTATTATCACTTATCACCTGCAGAACATGAATATTAAAGCTCCCCTCCACGCCGCAATGTGTTTTCCGTATATTGGATGTTTGTGCAGAGTCTGAAGACTGTTCACATTCATCTGCTGAAGTGGAAAATTTCTCTGTGATCACCGTAAATCTCAGCTTACGACCTGTATGTACGAGCAAGATCAGAAATAGTTTAGAAGTCAATTCGGGTCCAGTATACAACTCATATAAGTGTGATGTAGAAACTTGAAGCCTCCAGTCCACATAAACTGAGGAAGGACTTCATATTGAAGTGAGAGACATCTTGTATCCTGCAGTGAAACTTTCAAAATGAGTAAAATTTGCATATTCAACTGCTGATTATGGAATTTTTAATGCGAGGAGTATTTGTCTTTTTAATCTTTTTTTTTTTTTTTTTTTTTTTAAATACATATAATTTTTTTTTGCGGAAAACATACAAGACACACATTATTGTTAAAAGCATATTATTTGTCTATAGTACGCTGTAAAAATAGGGGATCTTCAATCTCAAAAATGGCTTTTCAGCTGCTGAGGAAACCATCATAATGCCTGAATCAAAACATAAAAAATACAGCATAAGATCATGTGAAAATCCCAATACAACAGCACAAATTTATTTACCGGTGACAGAATTTGTATTTGGCAAACATAATCTTCCACAAAAGCAGCACCTCCCCTGCCACCTTCTTTTAAGTGCATCCTGTCAACACTAGGTGGCAGCAGGGGAACAGTAAACCATGAATCACGAAGCTCTCATTTTCAATAAGATGACTTCATTTGCAGCCGCATTATTTCAGTGACAGCATCCATACTCAGTCACCGGGGGCTGATTTTTTTCATGAGTCTTCTGCACGACACCACGGTTGTTAATTCCTCAGTTCAGATTGAAACATTACAATGTCTCCGTCAGCCATTCCACCTTGAAAAAGCTTAGAGCTCCGTGTCAATTGAGCAAACTAGTTCTTTCTTTTCTTAATGATCACTGCTGTATTTGCAGTGAGAGCGCAGAAGATTGTCGTGTGAAGACAGTCACAGATCCAAATGGCTCATCTAAAAAACAAAGTAATCTAAATACTCTCCAAAGAAGCTTATTTTTGAATCAAACATTCCTGCCAGAAACACACACACACACACACACACACACACACACACACACACACACACACAAGACACACACATCCCTCCTGCTGTTCCCTGGACGCATCATATATGCAGATTGCAAAGCGGTGCAGGCTCTTTGATGTGCATAGAACAGAATTCTAGATGTGTTTTATATAACCACTCGGGAGGGAAGGAAGGAAGAGTCAAAGAGGATTACCGTCAAAACTTTCCCTGTTTCCTTTTGTCTGCCTGCGTCTCTACCTTTTCATGTCTACCATGTCAAACTGGAAGTGTGCCTGTTTCTGTCTTTCTATACCTCCTCCTCAGACTCTCTCACTCTTTTTTTCTCTTTCTGTGCCTTTTCAATACTTCACTCTGTTATTTCTGAAATCTGGGGAGGCCTCGCTGCTGGAGTCTGTCTCACAGAAAATGTAGGTCATCTGTTTTCAGCGACTCCCTTCACACCAACACGGAGGAGGAGATGGAAGTGATAACATCTTTCTCTGCAACCCCCCTCCTCCTCCTCCTCCTCCTCCTCTTCCTCCATTTTCCTTGCACCTTGAATGAAACACTTAAGGGGCTCCCTGCGCTCCACCTGTGCCATCCCCCCATGGACCCTGTCTCAGTACACACCTGGCTGACTGACAGCTCCACGTCTCTGAGCCTTTCACTTTCTGCTAAGTCATGCAGGGACAGCACTTGACGAGAAGATTTCTTTTTCAAGGGGAGATTCAAGAAACACCACTCCTGCAGTTTGCTTCCGCCGCTCCAAACACAGCATTGACAGCTCACTCTGTTGCATTACTCTCTGATTTGGTTTATATGCGGCACAGTGCCCAGTTCTAACCAAATCAAGCTTCTTGTTTACTGCCTGAGTTTGGTAACTTGTGACCCAATGATGTTGATTCCACTCTCTGTATGTTAGGACAAACATAACTGACTTGCGATTCAAGATCATGTAATAACATACTGAAAAAAAATAATGCTATAATTTGTGACTAATAAAAAAAAAGACACAGTGTCCTGCCGGCAGTGCATGGTAAGTGTACTCATTTATCTGAGTTTTAAAAAAGCAACAGGAAATGATATAATATGATTAAATGTTGGTGTTGACCTCCAGAGAATTTTATTATTTATTCTCCATAATTGTTGAATTGAATCCTTGCCTATAATTGACAGTTACACAGAAAGACAGATTGTATATCCAGCATAACTTTATAATTATATATATAACTTTATGATTTCAGTTATTTGGAATTAACTGAATGTGCACAAACTGATTGCTATACTTAGTACCACATTACAATTTCCTTTCTTGAAAATTAACAGGTGCATTGAAACAAAGTGTTGAATATGATTACACCTGTGGTGTTACCCTGTATTATGCTTGCTTTCCAAGCATTTGTACCTGCTGGCAACCAGATGTAAACATCTACTTCCTTGTACCCTAAAACCCCTGTCCATATATCTGTATGTGTTGATGTTGTTGTATTTTCCTGAAGTCAATGCTGGATTAACCCACTAGGGAGCCTTAAGCACCCATCAGATGCACACATCAGATAACACATGGCAGCTTCATTATACTTACCCCACATACCTAGAAACCAACCAGGGTTTTTATTTTGGAGTTCCTTTCTATCCAACATTTGCTGTGTATCAGTTAGTTTTGGGTAATTTGCTTTAACACAAATTTGCTTGGCACAAAAACGCAGACAGACACAGTTAGTGAATGGCCTGTGAACACAGTGGTGTATTTAGTGTCTAAAGACTGAAATATTTCCTTCAGTGGTTGGTAGAGACCAAAGACACAGCTGATAGAGAGTGAATATGGGCTTACATTCATCAGGTGGCCAGACACATGACTCTAAATGAACACAAATGTTGCTTTGTTCCAAATTATGAGGTGATAATATGTCAATGTTGCATTAATAACTTGTTTATGCTGCCGCCAAGCAGCCAAAAAAAATCTGTTCTTGCAGCTTTATCAATATAATAAATCCTTACATACATAATACATACATATACATTTCCCTTTTTCTTTTTCTTACTTATTTATTAATTAATCTATTTGTTTATTTTCACTGTGAGTTAGATGAGAAGGTCACATCAGGTCAAAACTCTAATGTCTGTACAGTAAATAGGAAGCTATAGCCAGTTAGCTTAGCTTTACACAAAGACGATGGAGAAACAGCTAACCTGCTGTAAAAAAGGACAAATTAACATATTATTTCTCATTTGTTTAGTGAGCTTTAGAGGTGATTGTAAGTAGATTGTGTTAGCTAGCTGTTTCCACCTGTTTCTAGCCTGTGTGCTAAAGAAAGCTAATTGGCAGCTGGACTCATATTTACCATACAGAGGGTGTGTGACCGTAGTATTAATGACCTCATCTTGGCAAGACAGTAAATAAGCATATTCCCCAAACTATTCCGTTAAGCCACAAACACTTTATTGGCACCATAATGCAAATAGTGCATCTGTCCCTGTTAGAATGATAATATATAACAAAACTTGTATGAATGTTTTGTGCGTTAACAGATGTGTGTTACTGTATTTGATGTTCAGGTGCAGTTATGTAACTGTGACCTTTATGACCCTCTGTAGTGCTGATGATGCTCTATGCATTTCTGTGTGTCCTTGGTGACCTCCGCCGCACAGCCGGCCACAGAGCCGGTGGCCAAGGACAGCTTATATCTCTCTCCTCGCTCAAACCAGCTGAAGCGTGCCTCCAAGTTTATGGCGTCACCGAAGAGCTCGGGTCACCGCACATCACACCTCGCCACTCTATCTCCTCCTCCTCCTCCTCCTCGATCCATCTGTGCCCTCCCCCCTCCCCCCTCCCCTCTCTCTTTCCCTTGCCACAGGGTGCACTGTGTGAACGCAGCATTTACAGTGAAATATTCTTGCTGCCTCTAATCCTTTCGCTCATCTCTCCCTCCATCTGCTTTCATCATTTCTTCCCGTTTTCCCTGCCCGAGGGGGGGTCGCAATGTGAATGGTGCACCGTCATCCAAACTCGTTTTCTCTCCCTCCCCTCTTCTCTCATTTTCTCAAAGAAAATACTGTATAAAAGCCTCTGGGCTCAGGCCACTAAGCCATCTTGCATATAGTGACCAGAGAGTGGATGAGCTGACTGCTCAGCCCCTGCTGACACGATAGCTGTGTTTGATGACGATGATGCTTCTTGGCTGCTCTGCTCGCCCCAGTGCGGCAATGTGTTTGACGGCGGTAAAGTAAATTGTTATGGTTCATTTGTAGCTTTGTGCAGTCTGCACATCTGGGTTTGAACAACTTATTTCCAAAACAAGATATTGCCTGTGTTACTAAAGTGCAGAGCCAAGAACATCAGGTTGCAATATTTTCCCAACATGAATACACAGTCTTTTGGGACGGACGGACTTCATTTGGTTCTGATTTATCCTTTTCCAATCATTTTTTCCATTTAGTGTGCACATTTTTGTAAGAAAAAGAAAAGGAAATGAATATGCCTTTGTGATGACTGTGCCCACAA